CCAAACTTATATACCCTAGCAACTATTCCAAAAATTGAGATTTTTTTAAACAACCATATTCAGATTTTTATATTTTACAATCAGTTTTTTTTTAAATATACTGAAAAAAATTATGTTTTGAATAACTTTTGACGGACTTTTGACTTTCGAACAGAGCGTCGGATCCAGCAATTTGGTGTCATTCGACGCGTATTTTGAATATAATTTAAACTGTGTTAAAAAAGTGTAATATTTTAGCGCCCTTTCTCCTCAACCAATCAATTTTTCTAAAGTCTTGGTCTGCAATTCTTAATTTAGCGATACCTTTCGATTGTTGTATTACTCGTCACGATCGGACCATCACATTAGATTTTAAATTCTGCGGCTATATAATAGTAGTCTCCTATAGACACGCTCTTGGTGCGCAACGTCACTACATGTACTGTCATCCATTGTGATGGCTTACCAATCAGACAGCTATCTACTACAGCTGTCATTTAAAAATTAAATTGGTAACGTATCGGTAATCTTTTTTATGTAACTACATACAATTTAATTTATATTTAATTACATACACATAACTAATTTTTTTTTTATAAAACTACTTAATATTTTATTTATATTTCGCGCAGTGTTTAATCTATTAACATTCACTCGTCCAAGTTTTATTTGTTTACGCATACCTTGGTCAGGGTAAAAGCGAATGCCGATCGGACTTCGTCACTACATGCACTGTCGTTCATAGTGATAACTGGGCTCTAATTATAGTTCTTAATAGGTAAATTCATAGCCTTTGGAAGATGCAGATTTGAATTACATATCATACGGTCATTAAAAACAGTAATCACCACCTTGGCATACAGGCGCTCTGAAGATTTGTGAATTTAAGTTACTTTATTCTATATTTCAAGCATACTCAAAGGCAGAGTGACTCAACCCTCAACATCCACGTAAATATTCCGTTTTCGTTGCCCCTGCTCCAATGACTGGCCTACTTGGCACAATTTTTGCATATTTGATTTTAATGACTAAAGCCAAGTACGTTGACATTTGAGAAAAATAGTAAATAGAAAAAGGGCCAGTTTTTATCCCCCAAAATATTTCACCAGAAAAGTTCAGCAGATGAAAGGAGAATTCGGACCATGGCTGGCAGCATGCCGAATTTTGGATGACATCGAGATGAGAAAAATGCCAAATACTTGAGCACACAATGCAAGAAATCTCAATTATTTAGCGAAACATGTGTTAGCTGTAGCACTACTGCATGCCCGGCAATCCCTCAGATGCGCGTGTATGGGAGCGTTAACATTTTCGTTGGGACGAGTGGTTTCCGTCGTGCAAAGCTATGTCAGCAGACAAAGAAATGATATAGCTAGACTAGAAATAACTCGAATCAGTAAATTCCGGGCAAGAAATGTTATTTATTTGAAAAACTAATTTAATTGAAAACGAAATAAATAGTGTGGCAAACAAAACCCAAAAATTAAAAAAAACATGCGAACATGCAAAAGGCAAAAATCAATTTGCCACAGTGAAAATGAAAAAATATAAATATAAAGATAATATAAACTTACAGAACTTATTTAAATAAATGCACAGGCTACAAAGAATTGCATAAAATATCGCAAATTCTCTAGATTTAATTCTTTATTAACAAGAAAGAAAGCAAACTTCGGCAAGCCGAAGTTCATATACCCTTGCAGCTATTGCAAGAATTAAATATTTTTAAAAACATTAAAATTATGATGATGATTTGCAGCTCAATTATTAGATAGTTATTTTATATATTTTTATTGTTCCTATGGGAGCTATATGATATAGTCGTCCGATTTTGATGAAATTTAAACCGTAATTCTTAAATATTTATCCATTACTATATGTCGAAGAACTAATAGAAAAATTTAAAAACATCAAAGTTATAATTTTTTTTGTATTTTTTTTTTCCGATTTTGATGAAATTTAAACCGTAGTTCTGAAATAGTTAGCCATTATTATATGTCGAAGAACTAAGAGAATAATTAAAAAACAGCAAAGTTATACATTTTTTTATTTATTTTTTCGATTGTTCCTATGGGAGCTATATGCTATAGTCGTCCGATCCGTCTCGTTCCGACTTATATACTACCTGCAATAGAAAGGCAACTTTTGGGAAAATTTCATGCAGATAGCTTTAAAACTGAGAGACTAGTTTGCGTAGAAACGGACGGACAGACGGACGGACAGACGGACAGATGGACATGGCTAGATCGACTCGCCTAGTGATGCTGATCAAGAATATATATACTTTATAGGGTCGGAGATACAAATGGTTCATTCTTTGCACAAAATGGATGGAAAGTAACCAAGACTGACCACATTATAGTGAGCAAATATGCACATACTTTGTTTGATTTGTAAAGCCAACGTTTTTGCTTTGTAGAAAAAAATTTCTGCATTTGCAGAATATGTTATGACACTTGACCAATCTGCAGTGCATTTTGAAAAGGGTGACGCTTTATCTTCTTTTAAAAATTAGCTATTACCATAAGGTAAGCCAGCTACAACAGTGCCGGAAAGAGCAGGAACCACAACATCAAAACAGTACACGGATAGTTACTCCCAAAGAAAAAGCAAAAACACCAGCAACATGAACAGCAGCAAAACCAGCAACATCATCATAACAAGCAACAGCAATACTAGCAGTAGCAACGAGAGCTAAACTACTGGTAGCAACAGTGCAAAAATTAAATGCAACATATAAAGAGCCGAATTCCACACCAGACAAGCGGGAAAGGCGAAGGAAAGTCGCAGAAATATTCAGCCTCCGCCTGGAAGTGCAAGGGCGAAAAACAAATGCAAAAACTAAACCACTTCTTTTTTGGCACTCGCTGCCGCTGGCAGGAGATTGGACGTGGCCTGGCGCGCGAGCAAATTCTCCCTACCGCTCGGCAACACGAATTGCCTTTTCTATTGAAGCTGTCGTTATCAGCGTTGTCCAGAGCATTCTGCGGCTCTTTGAACCGCTTAAGTGAAATTTAATGATATCTTTACAGGCCAAGAAGGAAGCAGCAACAGGTGTGTCGTCATCGAAATAAGGTGATTCCTGATGTAAGCCAGAACAGTTGCTGCCTGGTAATTTTTTAATTTCTTTTGATTCCTAAAAAAAACAAAAATAGCGAAACAAAAATTACATTAATTAAAACAGATTCCGAACTAACAAATATTTTCATTATTATTAGTCATCATATTCAAACAATATTTTGTCAAATTTATATTAATCAGATTAAAAATTGTAATTTAGAAAACAAGTGAATATTCAAACAATATTAAAAACAATCAGATTAAAAATTGTAATTTAGAAAACAAGTGAACATTAATATGCACAGAGGTAAATTTGCCTAGAATCTACATTGCTTTCGAGCTGGGATGCGCATGCCACATTTCTAATGACTTGCTCTAGGTGATGGGTGATGATGATGTCGTCATCGTATGTTCACCACAGTGAACATTGCAATCGGAACATTTTATTTCGTTTAAGAGCAATTGAAATAAATTCTATGGCAAATTACCCGACTGTGAAATGAGGAGGAAGCAACAAGCAACGGGAACCAGCCCCTCGGCAACTCTCAGATTTTTGTCTTGCTCGGCTAATGTCCAAATGCACTTAAAACTGCTGAGGCCATGTAAATGGGTCTTTAGTCTCTCCAGCTCCCTGTCACAAATATCCTCTCTGTTGCCATCCGCACATTTATGTCGCATTTCATAGTTTGCTTCTGCTCTTGAGGGCTGCTCGGGGAGTTTACAGCATTTTATTTCTCATCCGAACAGCTGAAATGAAAAACGCGTGGGAGCCGCTTAAAAAACCATAAGAGAGCTAAGTCTGATGATCTGTCATTTGGAGGCTGCTGATGATGTTGGTGGTGATGCAAAATTTATACATTCAAAGCTTGAAAAGTAGTTGGGCTATACGCTACGTTTCTTCGAATTTTATTGTCTTTGTTTATTTTTGCCGATCCGACGATACTAGCATCAAAGCATCAAAATTAGCTTGAAAAGTAGCCGCAACAAAACGTAGAAATTTCAATTAAAAATGTTGAACTTGTTTACTTATTTTTGAAGAAAATTTGTCTAACAATGAAAATATGTTATGCAAAATTCAAGAATATTATCTGAATGTTTTAACATTTTTTTAACTTTCTACTTTAAGGAACTGATTTCAAATTTGAACTATGGCATTAACTATGTTACGATGTACAATAAAAGTGTTTATAATGTTTTGCATCAAGATCTTCGTTGAAAATTAATTTACTTAGTTCACAAACCCTTATAAAGTCTTATGGGCAAGGACTCATGCAAAATGCTATTGCAATTGTGAGACAAACTTTAAGTGCGGAACCTGCTATTCAGCGAAAAATACCGAGAGCAGAAGCATGGGACTGGTAATCTTCTTGTTTTTCAGTCGAGTAGAGCTTGCAGAACCATCCAGAGAAACTCTATTTGGCATGCAAACGAGCTCTAGCCGCTCTGTTCGCGCATAAATGAAACGCAGCCCAGGAGTCAAATAAAATATTACAACGCATAAAAAATAGATTCGCAAAAGGCAAGTGATTGCTCTTTTGCAAGCCAAAAGTTATAGGAAATACGCATGGCATATACGTCTACTTCAGATATTTTTTACAACTTCAAAAATACATATTCCATTTTAAAAAAGTCAAAAAATCTTTTTTTTTACTATATTAAACTTTTGTTATAGGTTCAAGAGTTTATAGACAAGCTGTAAAGAATACTCCCGAGAATGAATGAATTAAAAACCATGATTGAAACGCATTGTCTACATTATGCGACAGAATTGTTTTTAATAGCTGCCACACAATTCCAGGAAGCTCAAGGAGCCAACTCATTGTCAAAGTCAAAATGCATGAATGGATTTATGTGACAGCTGAACCCCCCAACGGATATTTCTGTGTGGCTGGCTAAAATTAAAAGGGAAATCAGATATGTGTGTAGATTTATGTGATAAGATATGCATCTGATTTACTCACCCACTTTAATGGAACCAACTCATGTGGGGCCGCATTCAGCGCTGGCGCCTTCTATAAATTGTGGTTAATGATTTCGGCTCGATGGCAACGTTTAGTAACGGGCAAACTATTTTAAAAATTAAAATGTGGTAACTGAGCCATATACGATAGGCAACCCAAAATCAAAACAAAAACTAAAAATAAGTATACTATATCCGATACAGTTATTTATTTATAGATGGGTATTCTTCTTCTGATAATTTATGAGAGCACAAATTCACTTGAAATCGGGCAATTAATTGGCTGGCAATTCAATGGATATTCCACAGAAATTAAATTCGTTGGTCGAAGCACTCTAATAAATTAAAATTTGACATTCATCTAAGGCTTAGGGATTATGACTTCTCACATTGAATGTCAACAAAAAGATTTGGTATCTATTTGATTATTTTTCAATACGCATTGGATTTTAATAGACAATATATTCTATGCGCTGTGCTGGTCACTTGGCTAGTTCGAGAGACACTAACATTGCACACGACACACGTTCGCGACGGTGGTGCTGGTGGTTTGGTGATGTTGGTTTAGTGGTGCTAGTAGCAGTAGTTGTACTAGTAGAAGGGGGAGCGGATGGGTGCCTGTAAGAATCGAAACAGAACAGAACAATTCTCATAAGAGACAAAAGTTTCGTTTATATCAATATATATCGTAGGAGTTCTGGAGTGGTGTTTTATTTATAATTATATAATGCAGGGCATAATCTTGGTAAAGCTTGCAAGAAGAAATTTGACGCAGAGAGAAAGAAAAGGCACAGAGATAAATGGGAAGTTAAAGTGAATCAAAAGATTTATCGCTTTTTTGCAACAATGTGTTGAGATCATTATTAAGCACTCAATCAAGTCGGCGTAGGAAATTGGGAAATATGCAGTATTTGCTCACGAAAAGTTTCTTTAGCCGGGTAAAGCAGCCAATTTGATGAAGAAGAATACATTTTTAACATGATACAGTGTGTATACATTTATAGAATATTTTGTATGTTGAAAATGGCATTTGAAATTATTGTATAAATGTTTAAAAAACATTTCAAAAAGCGCGATTGGACAGGGCAAACAGGCTAACAAAACAACAGAAAGACAAGAAAAAAGATGGAGACAGATAATGTGCAGGAGAAAGAAATAGAAAATTTGGGCTATTAAACCGCTTTTAGGGACAGACAGATTATTATATATTAAGTGGGGGTGAGCCAATAAATAAATAAAACAATAAACAAAGCCGAAAAAGTAGAACAAAAAGTTTCACACCACAACGAGCATATAAAATATATATGCATATCCATGCACAGTAAGTATAGAGTCTGTTGTGGTGTCTCATTTATTTTAATGATTTATTTATATGTTTGATTTGAGGTTTTAGCAATTTTGTGTAGAAAACATGTGGATAAAGAGTATATTAAAAAACTATGTTATTATACCCTTGCAGAGGGTATTATAATTTCAGTCAGAAGTTTGCAACACAGTGAAGGAGACATATCCGACCCTATTAAGTATATATATTTTAATTTTTTGTTTAGTTCTCCGACAAATAGCAATGGTTAAATGTTTTAGAATTATGGTCTAAATTTCATCAAAATCGGACGACTATATCATATAGCTCCCATGGGAACAATAAATATATTTTAAAAACAAATTTGAAAAATTTAACTTTTTTATTTTTTATTTTGGAATTTTTTTTAGCATTTCTTTTTGATTAATTAATAATTTGACAGTTCAAAATTACGCTTTTAATTTTATTAAAATCGAAAAACGATATCATGTAGCTGTCATAGGAACTATTAATCATCACAGCTTCAAGTAAATCATAATTTTAATGTTTTTAAGAATATTTTATATTTGCAAAAGCTGCAAGTGTATATGAACTTCGGCTTGAAAAAGTTTGCTTCCATTCTTGTTTGTGTTGCAATTTATGAAGCTTAATTGGAAAAATGGCACAAGGGCACTATCCAAGAGCCTTAAAGATGTTTTTCCAATCTAACACGCTCTCTTGACACTTCGCCCTCCACCCTAGGTACTATCCAAGAACCTTAAAGATGTTGTTCCATTCTAACACGCTCTCTTGACACTGCGCTCTTGTAGGTTAACCAGCAAATTGCACCCCTTATTACACACAAGCATATAACCCCTTTCTTTAGCCCGCAACCTAAGAAGCTGAAAAAACATCTAGCAGCTGTCGTTTTACTTTCTTATCAATCAAAGGCAAACACACTCGCAGACAGTCGCAGACAATCAAATTTATCCGTCCACAAACCGCGTGTGATATTTAAGTTGTCAAGCTTGTGTTTGACATATACGTGTAGTCTGATAAAAAATAAAATGGTACACTAAAGTTATGATAATGAATAAAATATTAAAATACTGCAAATTTATAATATATATATAGTATATATATTTGATGATAGAATGAGTGTCAATACGGCAATCATCAACTCGCTTAATTCATATGTCCGTTAGTATGTGGGCCATATGAGCGGTCTATTATGCAGCGAAAATCCCCAATGATGCATGGCCCCACACATGCCACAAAATGCCACATAATTTGACAGTCAGAATCATCATGATGCTCAAGGGCTTTGTTCATTTGCATGCACATCATCACCTTAACAAATCGACGCATGCTACTCACCCTCCCGAGTAAGCCAAGCAAAACTGATCCATCACACAAAATATCAATAAATATTTTCGCTTTGGTGCCCATCTACTAGATGAATCGAAAATGTGAGGCAAAAGTGTGGCGTGGATGTTTTTCGAAAAGACTTTTTATTCTATCAACTTTTTCCGCGCGAGTGTGTTGATCAACCTTTCATGTTTTACGAGTTTCGTCAGAAAAATCAGTGAAATATCCAAACATAATTAAATCTCTTGTTTGTACGTACATACATATATTCATATAGTTTTGAGATTTTAACGGCATCAATCCTAATAATTTCGACCTTCCCGCTAGTTTGTTTTCTTTTTCTATATCTTTGAATTGCCAAATTCAAGGGCCCTAAACCGGTTTCAGTTACCAGACTCACGCACTTTTTCAGAGAACCAAGTTTAAAGAGTAAGAGTAAAGGAAAAAATGAGCGTTTTTAATCATTTTCAAGCGGACAATCTCCGCCTCGTCTTTTGTGTTTTGGGTTACGCATGTGCGTTAGTTAATTTGTATGGCTGCGTTAATTAACCAACGCGAAAAGGCTTTGTGCAGTTGTCCCTGAATTTTGGCCTCCTCGACTGTTCCCTTTCCAGCCATCGGCTGTGAGAAACAGACTGTAACAGAAGTATGGAGAGCGCGACAGTCATCGCAGCGCTTGAAAGCACAGATTGGAGAAAAACGCAAATGGAGAAACTACAAGAGAACTAGGCTCAAAGCAATCCAACAGCACACGAACACAAAATACTGCGCTATTCAAAATGATGTTTGGTTGTTATTAATTCAAATTATATTACAGCATTTTTTTAGAGAGCTTTTAGCGAGAAAAACACATAGTGTTCAATATGAAAAGGTCTGACATTAATATTTTAAAAAACTAAACTAAAAAACTAAAAACTAAAACTCTTAATATTAAACTATCAACAAACTATCAAAACTAAAAGGTTAAGTATTGAAATATATTTATAGTTTATATTTATTTTATGGCGATAGATTTGCATTACAAAAATATTTAAAAGTAAAGTTATTATTATTAACTTAGTTAGCAGTTCAGTGTACTCTCATTGAATGTAGAGTATTAAAACCATATGAATGCAGATACAATCGCAAATACTTAAAAACACGAGGGCGAAGCCCGAAGCTCCGAAAATTTGTGCTCAAGGTCAGGCCCGTTGAAATTTCGAAACTGGGCATTCAACTCGATAATTTATGAAACGCGTTTGGGTATAACTACGAGTTGGGAAGGGTACGCGCACAACAACACAGGCCTAAGACCAAAAATATAACAAAACAAAAACCGAGGCAAAACGCGCAAGCGTGGCTCCAGAACTTTTCGCATCGGCGAAAGGGAGACGGCAGCTTGTCCAAATATGGAGCAGGGAAATGTCTCTGTCTGCCAGAACGATCCAATCCATTGATCGAGATAGCTCTCAGTCCGGATTTATTCTCGGCGCAGTTTGCAAGGGGTTTGGGTGACCATCATAAATTTTCCCTGACGATTTGATTGCTGCTCTTTTGGCTTTTTTGTAAATTTTAAATAGTCATTTTACTCGCTTCATACCCAGCGAAGTTCTTTCAACCCAGTGACTCAGATTGGATAGCAGTACAGGTAAAACGTGTTTCAGTTTTCGGTTCTGTTTTGTTTTTAATGTGTTTTTATTGCGGCACGCATTCAGCCTTGGCAGTGAAACAAATGGATTTTAACGCGGCTTGTAAATTCTGTTATCTAGAAAAGGCAAACGAGACATTCGCAGCGGCAACATTTTTTTTTAAATAACTGATAAGCGTAGCTAAAAAACGCTCTTGATAGCTACTTATGAGCACACAGAAAACTACGGAGCCACATGGCACTTATTGGCAGGAATCCTATTCAAGAATATTACCTGTATCTGGTTGCACTCACTTCTACCTGTTACTCACTTTGGCTCACTTTACCCCTGACTGGTAAAACAATTTCCATTTAAAATGTAATAAATTGAGAACCGCTTTGAATATTTCTCACAGGGCCTTAAACACACGCGACTTTTATCGGAGTGATAATAATTTAAGGCAGGGCAGTAGGTGGCAGGCGAATGGGCGGTGGGTTCAGGACTGACAACTGTTAATCAACAAATTGATGACGGAACGCAGCACATGCGGGTGCTACATTTCATTTACTTTCGATTTTGCACGATGCGATGGGAGAGCACAAACAAAAGTACAGAGGTGGAGCAGTGGCTGTCGAAGGAGGGAGGCGGAAGAGGGGGCGTGGCAGGCGCAAACTGGCGTCGACGACAATTGGAGACCGCACTCGAAGCCCAGGCCAGACGCTAATTTGATATTTTAATGGCTTTTTGTTTGCAAATTACGCTCGACTCGACGTCGCCCTGCACTTCCCCCGCTGCCCCTCGTACCCACTCTCCCATGCCGAAGCACTCTTTAAATGAGTCGTTTGAGTCTAAAATAACGGCGCTAGTTGTACGACACTGGATCCATGTGTATTTTTGCGTATTTTGAAACAAGAGAGTGCGAGTTACAAATGATGTACAAGCGTTAAGGCTCATTAATGGTTGACCAACCAGACGGAAAAAAAATCCTAAGGTTGTATGCATTAGTTAAATTTAAATACTTAATTGGCTATTTATTTTTAGCTTTATACAAATATTAACAAGTAATTTTTGATCCCTTGAAACATATTTTCATTTCGTAAAATCCAGAAACCAATATACGAATATAATTGTTTAATATTTAATAAGGGTTGTCTAAAATTCAATAGCCTAACTAACATAGTTTTTTAAATTTGCAAATAATTTATCACATATTCAAATAGAAGAACACTCTTTAAAAAATACTTTAATATTTTTTATAAGGCATTAAGCCGACCGCTCACAAAATCAGCAAAATCATATTAAACCGCGAGTGAAATGAAACCAAATAACCAGCTCTAGATCCCAATTCCTAGTTCTCCTAACCCAAGCCGCAGGTGAAATTGCAGCTCAAAATGTCAACAAAATGAAAAACATACATGGAGCAACAGTCAAAGTCAGGTGTACGAATGTGTGGTCAAAACCACAAAACCACATCGAAGCAAAGTAAAGCGACCAAAATAGCGATGGCAGGGGAAGAGGATAACAGTTCCAAAATTATGAAAATTACATTGGGCATGTCAATGAGTCAGCGAAATTATGCAAAAGAAGTGGCGGTAAAATGCAAACGCAGGAGTGAACAAAGAGAATAGATAAACTACACGTGAAAAACAATTAAAACTTTGAAATGCAGGACAAATACATCGTATTTTAAAGACAGAGAGGGAGTTATAAAGTGGTGCGTAGGCGGCTGCAGGTAAAAAAAAGCACGATTGTCCGAATTTGAAAACGAGCAGTCCAGAGTGTAAAGCAGTAATGATAAAAAAGTATTAATAAACAGATGGGTAAAATAATAGGTAAAAACTAAACATGCAAGCAAAACTGTGGAAGAGTGAGAGACTTACAAATCAGTGAGCAGGAGGCAGCAACTTGCTCTTTTCAGTGAATCTTCTTATTCGTTCAATTTCTTATTCAATTTAAACGTAAAACGGAGGAAATGCCGTATAGTATATTTCATACACTTTGAAAATTTAGACACGATTTAGGAAAGACCCCAGGCTTTGGGGTCAAATAAAATATGTAATCACTGCAACTTTCGACATACATATAAAGAAATTGAGGATAAAACGTTTTTGAAAACTCGAGAATCGGGCGGCAAACAATGGTGACATATTTTAAATGTTATGTATATGACATCTTTTAAATTAAAACATAAGAAAGAGTGAGAGCAATTTAATTAATTCTAGAAATCTTAAAAACTTTATATTTAATTGCAGCATTTACTGTGTGCTAATTAGCCTTGGTTTATTATTTCTTAGACTTATAGCATTATTTTTGCAATTAATTTATATAAATCGAATCCGTGTTGGAAACTTTCTAAATATACTAATATCCAATAATAAATTTGGCATTATTTGGCATTTTAAATTAAAAAATGTTTTCGGAATTTAAGCACACATTTAAAATACAAGTATTTAATTTCCTCACTTGTTTTGCCCTCAAGAACATTAAACATTTGCAATTTGTTTCGTTTTGCGTTTAATTTTTGTAATCCGTGTTATACTGAAACAAGAAGATCGCACAAAAACACAACGATTAAAGTGGACCGAGTAATTTTGTTATGCTTTTCCGCGGAATCCTGACCCCTTACCAGGTGTTTGCACCACCGAACGGTAATACACCGGGAAGGATTTCCTTAAAACAACGAAGCACGCGAAGAAAGAGCAAAGAAGAACACAAAAAGCTAAAACTAATGGAACGGGACCGAAACGAAGCACAAAAAAAGAGTAGTTTCCGAATGTCAAATTGAAACTGGGTATACAAGCGGCATTTCCACTCCCAGTGACATAAAACGCAAATCCGGCGTTAATTGCGCACGTTTCTTCCCACGAATTCGTCAGCTGCTCGTTTGGCGGCAAGAGCTTTGTTTGCGCACCTCCTTTTTGCTTTTATTCGTCGATGATTCGGGCACGCGAAACGCAGTTTTAGTTAATTCGTATAACTTTCAGCGCAGAGCACTCTCGCAAATGCAAAACAGCCGATCGCTGATGATTTATTGACTTTAATTCCTGACTGCACTTGCATTCACCACTACGATTAAAGACTCGAACCGCTCACTTTTCGCTGGCAACAAAAACAAATGATCACTAGAGGTGGAGAAACATCGATGCCAACATCGCTGTCAGCGATGTTTTTAAAGCATCGGTTTCATCGATGTTTGGCGGGGCAACACCGATGATTTCCCATCTCTACTCTGCCGCGCTGCTCACTATCCATCGTTCGTTAACATAACTGAACTAACATAGGAATGTAAGGAAAACGACGATTTAACATTGCCGTTACAAAATCGACGATTTTGAATTTCGAACTTTGAACAAAACTGACCAGGTTTGTGGATTCCGGCTAAATGGCGCTTTTTTGACTTGCTCTCTGTTTCGGTTGGCTGGGCAACATGTAAATTGAAAATAGAAAATAAATTTAATTTTTTCGACTACAAAAACAAATGATCGCGTTCGGCTAGGGGTGGGGAAACATCCAAGATGCGTTCGATACATCGATTGCCTGCAAAGACTATCGCTGTTCTCTGGCACTGGTGCTTTTTTTCTCTCCTCTCTATCGACTCTCTTTCCCGTTAAGTTAGCGGTTAACCGTTTATAGCAGTTTGCCCGCCCACTTAACTCTGAACGTAAATTTTATCGTTGATTTAATTTTTAATTTTTTTAATAAACACCATGCCAATCATTTTTTTTTGCTGGAACGGTACAATAGGAAAAACGAAAATATACTAAACATTAGTATAAATCTCTAGAATGACCAAAACTAATAGCGAAGACATCAACCTGTACTTTGATTCTCCTTTTGACTCGATTTTTTACTTATTAACTTAAAACTGGATATGAAAAGAACAATAAAAACCGTGATTTTCATATTTTATTTCTATAAATCTTTTCCAAAGAAATTGCAACAACAGTAAATATAAATAAAAAAAAAACAGGGACTAAAGAATCAACAATAAATCAATTACAACCTCTACCAACTTTCGAACATTTAAGCCAATAAACAAGTTAATAATTCCACACGACAATAAAATGGGATAACTTATTTCTCTAGAAATCATAAAAGTCTTTGACCACAGTCCAAAAATTTAGCGGGCGGAGTACAAATCTTAAAGTAAACATTTTCATTTAGATAAGGAAAAACAAACTCAAATCAACCGGCGTTCTTTTGCAGAAACGAATAAGCATTTTAATATTAATAGCCAAACTTATAAATATTTCAAATACCGGGTGATGTTTTTTAATAGAAAATTAAATTAAGAATTTTAATTTTTGTCTTACTTTGAAAAATTCATCAGCATATCACATTTTTTTTCAGATTACCGGCATATTTATCATTATTTTTCTTTAAAATTTTATTCTAATATTTTTAAAAAGTTGTATAATAATATGTAATCAAACGTAAAAAATATAATAATAATACAAAATAAAAAAAGTGGGGTTTTTCGCCTTTTGTTTTTTTCTTCATTTTTTTAAACCATAGTCTTTTATTGTTCTCAATGCAGTTTTTGTAGATAATTTTCAGACTTAGGCAATCCCTAAGGAAGGGATTCGGCGGTGACTCAGAAAGGTCTAGCGAAAATGTTGGATAGAGATACCACGTGGAAGTTTTTACATGCTTGTCAAGTGATCAGTGAGGATAAATGAAACGCTGCTAGTATGTTGGAGCACAAGCGACGGAAAGCAGAATGCAAACATAGTTGTTGTTCGGCGCAAGAGAGTCTTACAGTCTGCTCTTTCCATTTGCGATGGCTGCTCTCAGATTGCTGGCACTGGCTGGCGGGCAGCAATTACAAAAGACTAGCAGTCGCACGAATGAAGTGGGCGCCAATCGCCGGCGGGAGCAGTTCGACGTTAGAACCTAAACAACCCGTGATCGCAGAACTACACAGAAAACAGAACCGAAATAGAAACAGAAGTCGAAACACAAATCGAAAGAGAAGCGCAAACAGCACGCGGCACGCGGAAAACGGGTCGAAAAACATAGCAAAACAAAACCCAATTAAAATCAGATATTAATAGAAAAACCAAAGTGCACAACAATAAAAAGGTTCGTCTAACAAGTGAATACGCAATTTCTTTATAGCGACTGCAACATTGTGTTCGGATCCGCAAAATAATTATTTTGTTTGTATTTGTTTGATATAAAATAAAAGAAAACTGTCTATGAAATGTGAAGTGTTTGCAGATCGTGTTTGATGAATTCAGAAAAAATGAAAGAAGCAAAGGAAAATTTCACCGCCTGAAGAGGTTTGAAGGCTGTCAGGCTTTAAGTATTTAGCAAAATTTCAGCAAAAATGTTTTCAAGACATTCGAGTGTGCAAATGTTTGCAGAACGGGCCCAAAAGAATATGCCACACACATTCAAATCTAAATACGTACATAAGGACACTAATCGCATTGAATAGTGTTATTTTCTCACTAAATTAAAGGAAATAACCGTATACTTGATTATCTGGCATACAATCTAGATATTGTTTAATAAAAGATCACGTGTTTTTAAGCAAAATAAAATTTGTATACATCTGTTTATCACTAAACATTTGCTAGCAACACAAAAGTTTTTTCTTTAATTCAATTTCGATTCACATATACTTAAAAAATAGTTTGCATTTCATAAACCACACTAACTGAATTCAAATCTTAAATTGTGTTAAAAAAATATTTTATCACTAAGCAGACTGAGACAGTTCATAAACTTGAAAAACATAAATGACATGGCAACATATGAGGATTATTTTTTCCGTGCCGTTTCTTGTATATTAATAGTATATATATGTATATTTAAAATAATAAAGTAAAGTTGTCCTTGGCACGCTTTTGAGTGTAAACCAATTATTTTCACTATTTAAAGTAAATGCAAACGCTTGTAAATAAAATAAAACTCAGCAGTAAAATAGGAATTCATCAAATTTGCATTTTCTGTTTTTATCTATGCCATTTATTTATGTCATAAACATACATTTATGTAGGGGTCATCATTTATCAAGAAAGACAAACATTTTGCAAGAAAATCAAAATGTTTTTTTTAGTTTATTTAAATTTAAATATTCAACTTTTATTTTTGTACTAGCCATGGGTTTTAGAGATTTGTAAATTTTTATACCCTCGCAGAGGGTATTATAATTTTAGTCAGTTTGCAACGCAGTGAAGGAGACATTTCCGACCTTATAAAGTATATATATTCTTGATCTAGCCATGTCAGTCTGTCCGTGCGTCTGTCCGTCCGTTTCTACGCAAACTTGTCTCTCAGTTTTAAAGCTTTCTGCATGAAACTCTACCAAAAGTAGTCTTTCTATTGCAGGTAGTACATAAATCGGAACGAGCCGGATCGGAACAATCGGAAAAATAAATTTAAAAAATATTATAACTTTGCTGTTTTTTAATTCTTTTTTTTTAGTTATTCGACATATAGTAATGGTTAAATAATTCAGAATTACGGTTTAAGTTTCATCGAAATAAGACGACTATATCATTTGACTCCCATGGAAACAAAAAAATATTAACAAAAAATTATTTTACAAAATTTAACTTTTCTATTTTGTAATTTTTTTAAAAAGTTCTTTTTGACTTTTAAATAATTTGACCGTTCAGAATAATCACGATATCTTATAGCAGCTATAAGAACTATTGAATAATTGAGCTGTAAATCATAATTTTAATGTTTTCAAAAATATTTAATTTTTGCAATGGCTGCAAGGCGATATGAACTTCGGCTTGCCGAAGTATGCTTCCTTTCTTGTTTTTTAAAATAAATTTTATCAAGTACGCGACATCTTGTGTTCGACACACTCCCACGAATTTTGCATCTATGTCACAGATTTTATTTTGAGCAGTATTTTAGGTGAACTGCACCACTACCCACCGCCCACAGCCAGCCAACAACCCAACTTGTAGCGATTGGCAGTCGTCCGCACGTTGCCAACTATTAGAACAATTGAAAAAAGTGTGGGAGTGGTTTCGAGTGGCACTGAAGAGTATCTTGTTAGCTGCGCTGATACAATTGTAAATGCTGAGATTTAAATTCAGTTTTTCCTCTTTTATTTTTTTACGTTTGCGATTTTTTTCGTTGCGTATTATCGGGGAAATTTGCACACTAACTGAGAATAAGACCCGAGCTCAGGCATATTGCCAAACAACACAGACAGCAAAAAATCGGAGAAATAACAACCCGAAAAATATCTAAAATAACAAACAAGGGAATTTCATGGAAGCAATATCCGGCCGAGGGTGGTGAGGGGTGTGTGCGATGTGTGTGTTTGCCCAGACAAAGTGCAACAGTATCCACACCGACAGCTCTTCTGGAGTTGTTACATTTGCTAAAATGTGGAGCTTGGCCAGATTTTAAAGCGAACATCTCCTAAGTTCATCAAAGCACTGCTATTAAAGTCATTTAAATAGTTTGAAATGATGACCACTTAAGTTCTTTGCACCCAGTTCGCGCTTTAATAAATTGAATACTTATTATGAATTAGATTAACATTTTTTTTATAATGAATTATACATGCATTATTTATACCCTTGCAGGGGGTATTATAATTTCAGTCAGAAGTTTGCAACGCAGTGAAGGAGACATTTCCGACCCTATAAAGTATATATATATTCTTGATCAGCATCACTAGGCGAGTCGATCTAGCCATGTCCGTTTGTCCGTCTGTCCATCTGTTCGTCTGTCCCTCCGTCTGTCCGTCCGTTTCTACGCAAACTAGTCTCTCAGTTTTGAAGCTATCTGCATGAAACTTTCCCAAAAGTTGTCTTTCTATTGCAGGTAGTATATAAGTCGGAACGAGCCGGATCGGACGACTATAGCATATAGCTCCCATAGGAACAAAAACAAGAAAGAAAGCAAACTTCGGCAAGCCGAAGTTCATATACCCTTGCAGCTATTGCAAGAATTAAATGCTTTTGAAAACATTAAAATTGCGTATATGTTGAAAAACATTGAAGCTATGATGACTTGCAGCTCAATTATTAGATAGTTATTTTATATATTTCTATTATTTCTTTGGAAGCTATGTGATATAGTCGTCCGATTTTGATGAAATGTAATCCGTAATTCTGAAATAATTAACCAATACTATATGTTGAAGAACTAAGAAAAAAATTAAAAAACAGCTAAGTTATAATTTTTTTTTATTTATTTTTCCGATTGTTCCTATGGGAGCTATATGCTATAGTCGTCCGATCCGGCTCGTTCCGACTTATATACTACCTGCAATAGAAAGACAACTTTTGGGAAAGTTTCATGCAGATAGCTTTAAAACTGAGAGACTAGATTGCATAGAAACGGACGGACAAACTGACAGACGGACAGACGGACATGGCTAGATCGACTCTACTAGTGATGCCGATCAAGAATATATATACTTTATAGGGTCGGAAACGTCTCCTTCACTGCGTTGCAAACTTCTGACTGAAATTATAATACCCTCTGCAAGGGTATAAAAATGATTACTTTGCTGTTTTTTAATTTTTTTTTGTAGTTCTTCGACATTTAGTAATGGTTAAATAAATCAGAATTACGCTTTAATTTTAATCAAAACCGGACGACTATAACATAAAGCTCCCATGGAAACAAAAAAAAATAACATTTTTTTTTAAAAATTTAACTTTTTTATTTTGTTATTTTTTTTAATTCTTTTTGATTTATTAATTTGACAGTTCAGAATTACGGTTTTAATTTTATTAAAATCGAAAAACGATATCATATAGCTGCCATGGAAACTATCGAATAACTGAGCTGCAAATCATCACAGCTTCAATGTTTTTAAACATAAATGCAAGTAAATCATAATTTTAATGTTTTCAAGAATATTTAATTTTTGCAATAGCTGCAAGGGTATATAAACTTCGGCTTGCAGAAGTTTGCTTCCTTTCATGTTTGCCATATAATTCAAAATTATTTTTTTATGAAAATGATTTTTTCTTACACAACACTGTAGTAGAAGTATTACAAATGTAGTTCACCAAGTTTCATAAGAAAACAGTGTCTCAGAGCTTTTGAAAGATTTGAGTATGGCTATATATTTTTGTCCTTCTACAGAAGTTTTAAATATATACTATGTGCTCGAAACTAAGAGACGGTCATTAATTGTTGAAATATCAATTAAAAAGAAAAAGTCCCCTATAGAATGACTGTTCTTATTTAAACTTAAACAGAACTCTTTTAAAAAATAATTAAGAAATAACCGATAAATTTAAGATCAAATATTAAGAAAATTAATAGCCCTGGATCGAAATCAACCCATAGAACCGTAAACTTTACCCAGAAAAGTTTTTTATGTTGGTTATGTTTTTTAAATAAACAACTTAATACAAAAATAAAAATAACGTGTAGTCCCACCAAACTTTCCAGTCTTCACAGGGCTGGGAACGAACCAAAGAGCAAACGACATTTCAAATTAAAAGAATGCCGGACACGGAGGAAGTTCCTGAGAAGGGCAAGTCTAAACCAAACCAATCCCACAAGATCAATTTATTAAATAAATAAAATACTCTTATTTTATTTCTAAACAGTGCCTCGCCTGGGGTTGCGACACCTGCAGGCTGGTCTCCTCTTTTACGGACTGGCGGCCAACACAGTTCTGCAGCTGAACGTGAGCGTGGCAGTGGTGGCGATGACCAATGGAAACACAACAACCGAAAGCGACACGCCCGTGGGTAAGCAAAAAGGCAGCGAAAAGCACCCAGCTCACCTGTCCCCCACCAAATTCTTCAGCACTACAATTGGACTGAGCTGGAGAAGTCATACATCCTGTCGAGCTACTACTGGGGTTGCGCACTGGCCCAGTTTCCCGCCGGCTATCTGTGTAAGCGCTTCGGATCCAAAGCGGTTCTCTTCTGGGGCACTCTGGGATCTTCCCTGCTCAGTGCCCTTACAACCTGCTCGGTCTATGCAGCCGGGTGGAAAGCGTACTGTGCGATTCGTCTGCTGCAGGGGCTGTGTCAGGTGAGCTGGCCCTGCATCCACCAGCATTTGGCCAACTGGTGTCCCACGGCGGAGCGAACGCGTCTGGGAGCGTTTGCCTACACGGGATTTGATTGCGGCAATGTGCTGGCCATGTATGGGGCGGGCATGGTGGCCAGCTCTTCACTGGGGTGGCCTGGCATTAGTTACTCGGCAGCCGGACTGGGCCTGGTTTGGTGCGTTCTTTGGCTGCTCCTGGGAGCCAATAGGGCCAGTGAGGCCAGATTTATTGGCGAGGCGGAGAAATCCTATATCGTGGGGGATCTCCAGCGATCAGAAAGGAAGGAGCCCAAGAAAATGGAGATTCCCTGGAGGGGCATTTTTACCTCAGTACCAGTCTACGCCCTACTCTGTGCCCGTTGTGCTGACAGTTGGGGACTGACCACCATGCAAACTCAATTACCTACCTACTTGAGCGGCGTCTTGGGCCTGGACATGAAAAGCAATGCGATCTTCTCGGCGCTTCCTTTCCTACTCATGTGGGTCATGTGCTACGTCTATCTGATTATTGCGGATGTACTGCTCCACAAAAAGTGGATGAGCCTGACGGCCTTAAGAAAGACCTACACGAGCATAGCTCTTTGGGCTCCGGCCTCCATTATGTTGACGCTTGTTTCCATGGGTAAAGGTCAGCAGACCTTGGTCCTCGTGCTGGTAACTCTCAGTGTGGGAGTGAGTAGTGCAGCCACGATTGGCAGCGAGCTGAACACGATTGATTTATCGCCCAACCATGCCGGGATTCTTGCCGGCCTTATGAGCAGCCTCACCAACCTGATGGCTCTTTTAACGCCCCTTGTGGTGGGCGTTTTGGTCCCGGACCCCAGTCAACGGAACCAGTGGCAGGTGGTTTTCAGCCTGGCAGCCGGAGTTCTGTTCGCCGGGAATGTGATTTTCTTGGTTTGGGGCACTGCCGTGACCCAGCCGTGGAACGAGTCCAAGGAATTGCAGCGGGAACTGGAGCCGGAGGAGAAGCCATTTCAGCATACTAAGCTGGAAATAACAGCTGACGGTTCCGATGGCAGCGGAGTAAGCTTAAGACTGAACTGTACGAGCCCGTGAGAATTAAATTCAAACTTTTATTTCGAGTCTTTTTGCATTTTTAATCCGGCATTGTTTAAAGGTTATTTTTCAACAATAATCAATAATCAAGATAGTGTTTTTATCAGGAACTGTAACGGTTTTTTTCAACAATAATCATCAGAAGATAGTGCTTTTATCAGGAAATAAATTATGAATAAAACTAGAATGTTTATTGGTAGAGAATGACAATATATGGTTTATTTATTGAAAATGTATTTTAAGACCTAACCATTGCGGCAGTATAAATATTTCTGTGTTATAAATGGATGTCACTTTTGTGTTCATGCAAACAGGGTCTACAAAAGATAGATGAATTTTTGTTTTTAGTGAGTATTCGGAAATAAAATATTTTTTTGACTTACAAGACATTGGCTGGATCATTATTCTAAACTAGGTGTGTGGTACATTTGCAAGATGTCAATTTCCTTAGCCTTCCCCTCGAATTGTAAATCATAATTTACGACCTACTAGCATGTTGCTTTGGATATAAATTCTTCTTAGTCCGGCTTAAACGGCTTCTACCCTTTACCGCTTTTTCCGGACACACACCTGTGCAGCAGACGGACTCGGAGCCAAAGGCCTGCATAAAGAAGACATTAAAGCATGTAACTATAACCAGGAATCGCATAAATAATTAACAACAGCTGCTCACTTTCCGTTTGTGAGACAAGCGCTTTGTGTTTTGCTGCATATTTATAGGGGCATAAAATATTGTCGTTTATTTTTAATTTAATGACAAGAATTTTGTACGCCTCCCCCCTGATGTCATCCTGGTAATGGCCTGTAGCAATTGCAATCTATCTTCCTGTTTCGCTCTCCATTTACGACAAAGCAAAACAATTACAAAAACAAGTATCACATGGACCAGAAGCGATAATCAGCAAGGGAGACAAAGCCCGATTCCAGTGAAGGCCCTAGAGCCCACCACAGCCGCCACTTTGGTCAGCGTGCCATTTGTCAGTGGTTGAATTCATGGAGAAGGAAAGTAAGCAGTGGCACTGGAAAAAATTAAGATCGGTAGAAATAACTATGTGGGGTAGAAATCTGTTACACACCATATGTTGATTATGATTATTACTATTATTATGATGATGATTATCATTATATTGATACAGAATACTTGAAGTCGAAAACTAAGTTAGTTGGATATTTAAGCAGCAGAAGAACAATTGTTAATTAAAGTTAATTATTGCCAGATAAATGTTATTTTTCCACAGAGGAATTCAACTAAAACATAGAAAAAAGTCTAATTATTTTTTTAAAAATAGCGACATTGATACCGTCAGTGTAACCACTGTTTAGTGCGCTCCGGCACGCTGATAAAACATTTCGTTTCGTTACGTTACATTTTATATTATTTACAATACGCACGCAGTTTACTTTTACTTTTTTTCTCCATTTCACCCTCACTGCCGCCCTTATAGCATTATGTATACGCCGCGTTGGCCATCAGAGAGGAGCATCATTTCGGTCATTATTTTGGTTACGTGCGCTAAATGAGACGCAACCGAGACCCGGCCATCTGCCACATTTGAATTACGTGCGTGAAGATTACGTTATTTATAACTGGCTACTGTGGACCTCTCTGCACTTATTTTATTCTTTCTCACCTTTTAAACTTAAGAGCTCTTAATTGATTTTAACTTTTTTGCAGAAGAGCTTTTTAGCGAAAATAAAATGTTTCGTTTAAAAGTTAACAAGTAGGGAAGGCTAATGATGCTGGCTGCCGGGATGCATTTTCCGCAAATCCGCTCGCACATCCCTCATCACTCGGTTACACCTCCTCCCATTCTTAATCTACTTGGGCTGTTTTGAGTGCCTGACGCATGGCCTTAATTAAAAGAAACTCTTTGATGCAATTCGACAAGAGGGAAAACACAAGATGCACATCAAAAAAGTTTAAATAACTGATATATTCTCAGCTAATTTCATTTAAATTGTGCTGTTCTCTTGAGTAATATTAAAAACATTTTTTACATTGAGTGGATAATCCAGTATTCCAACTTTTTCCCTTTATTAACATGAATTGTCTAAGTAAATATAATTTTTTCCGTGTAAGTATATGTATACAAAAATTAACTTTAACTGCAAGTCAAACTCAAATGCAACACAAACCGAAAAACTTTTTTTGATCCCTTCCTCCCGAACATGTTGCACGTTAGCAACTTTTTTAGGCACCTGGACGCCTGTCTGCCGAGCGAACTTCTAATTAATGCTCTCTATCCACCAAACTTTTTACAGTTGCAGCACTAAAGCACCTGCAGTTTGTTCTCCAGCTGCACCTCAAATTAAAAAAAAATCAGTTCAAATCTAGGTTTTATATGTCGTCTAGGAATACTCTACGATATTTTAAACTTAATAATCTAAAGTAAAAGGTTCAGTTCAACTTAATTCAATATTTTACTTAAAGGAGCGTGTGACCGGAAATCAAAAAAGTATAACATATTTTCTCGCAGAGGCATAGTACGAAAAAAGGACTACGAGTATAGAGCAGTTCACTCAGCTTCAACTCGTTCACCGAATAGTTTTCTATATTAAGTTAAAAATGTTCATTTCTGCGTGTGCTTTAATTGTCCATTTTGACCGCACTCTCCCCTTTTTCTGTAGCTGCTACAGTCAGCTAAGTGTAGCAAACTTTTAAATTAAGTCCCTGTAATGATTTTTGGACGAATGGAATTAGCTCGGGATGGACATGACCGTGCGACTGATCCTGTTCTGCCTGCTTGGCTGCTCTGCTGAAGTTGTCACGGACTGAGAGCCCGAAACGGAAATGTGTAGCTTGAAAAACTTGCAAATTGAATCCTAATTTTTTAATATTCGACATTGGCAAATTGCCTTGATTAGCACACTAGGAAAGTTGCATCAAAACTTTACGTAATTTCATTTCGTTGGCAGCAACGTTTGGGTTGTAATATGTGTAAATAGTTTGGTAAGAAATTAAAAACTAAAGATTAGTATTGCTGTCTTCGCTGTAAATTAAGTTTCCTTCCACAAGGTCATAGAAAATAAATATCAAACAAAAAAATACGAATAACATTATTATACAATAAGTATAAAAGAATTTAGCGTATTTCTCAATTCTAATTCTATTTCTAATATTCATTCGAATTATATTTCTGAGAAGAAATTGTTCAAATGCGTATATTTTGTAAAACTTCTCAAGCAATTCCTCCTAGCATAAACTTCTTATCTTAACAATAGTTACGTGTATTTTTTGCCAATTTATCTGCGCGCAAAATTGAGCCAGGTAGTTTCGGAAAGAGCAAGTGCAATGATTTATACTTCTAGCAAAAAGAGTGGGGTGGCCATAGTATTTGGTTGCCTTTTGTTAGCATAACTGAATATTTTATGTAATAAGCTAGACATGTGGCGGATGGCAATTGCCAGTATTGTCAGTGTCACTCAAAAGCGTCAAATACGCAAAAAATGCTGGGGAAAAAATTGTTCAAAATAAATAAATAAAGGAGCTGAGAAGGACAATAACTCTTTGCCACCGTGCCTGCTAGGCACTGGGAGAAGGACAACAACTCTTTGCCAGCGTGCCTGCTAGGCTGAAATTCAGCTACATGCAATATGACAGGATGTTGCGATGGGGGCTGTCAACTATGGGGTGTAAGGATGCCAGGAACGCAGGGGTTGCTACACGGACTTAACGCATGCCACCATCAACAATGAATGTAATTCAATATGCAAATGAGCCGCAACAATTTTCTACTTTTCAACTGTTTCCCATACACATTTAGCGCAGGTTCTGGGCTGCAATTTCCATTTTCCCAGCAGCTGGTTGATTATGATGCATGTATCGCATCAGTACTGTGAAATCCGATCGCAAATATGCTGCCCCTAACTTAAATAGAAATTCGGTCCGTTGAGTCTTCCCTTCTCTGTCTTTGCCTCTATTCCACTAGGAGCATAAGCTGAATCTCAAATTTATTTAAACGTTTTTAAGTTTATGAATAATATAAACTCTTTATATCATTCATAAATTTAAAAAATTGATACTTCTTCACTTCAAATTTGGATCTTTACTTGATAAATTGATGACTTTCTCTTTTCCTTTTCGAACTGAGCTGTTTAGCCTAAAATTCATATAAAATCCTGTGTTTTAACTTGACTTTACTGATAATGATTATTTGATCAAGTTTATTTTTATAAAGTATTTAGGACCATCTGAATCAAACTTATTTTTCTGACAAGCGTTAAACCAATCGCCAGACGTGGCCTAAACATGTTGCTGTGCTCGGGGCAGTCATTGACATAGAAGGTCTGGCAGCAAGATGACAGCTACGGATTTAACTCTGACCAAATCGGTTTTGGCATCATGTAGTAATTAATTAGACTCGCAGGCATTTTATATGAACAAAGAGCAATACCGTTTCACTAATTGAACATGAACATGGGCTTCCCCATGAGGATGATGCACCACTTGCGGTGCAGTCTCCACCCTGCCAACCCCTCTTTCATTGACCCCTTTCCCAGCGCGCACTGACTCAATTCATCAGTTGTCAATGATGACGTCCAAGTGTAGGCCCACAGTACTCGAACTCTGTACAGCGCATTCTGGTGGGTGGGTGGTCCAAAGTGGCCGGGAATTTTGCCTTTGGCCCGGCGATCTTATCGCAATCAGGGAGGAGGATGTGTGCGGTCTGTGGTTTCCTCCCGGAGCTGCCTTTGGCAAATGCGACGTGCACGACTATTTCCCAAAATTAAATGAGCACAAATCAAATATTTTACAAGTTCTGTCACTACACAGGGAATGCCATCGATATTCGAGTGGGAGTAGAAATACTTGCACTGAGGAAAACATTAGTGTTAGAAGAGCAGGCGCTTGAACGTTTGCAAGTCATAGAAAAATGAATTAAAATACCAGTCCTCTTGAGCAGGAGTGAAAATGTCTTTTTTAAAAGATCCATCAAAGTGTTTCAGAATATAGCTTTAAGCTAAAGCTAAAAAGGTTAAATACAAAATTAAAAAAAAAAAAAATTAAAAGATTAAGTGACATTTGAGTCGTTTTTTTGACAGTGTGTGGCAGACATTTTGGCCAAGCTGATGTGGCATGTTTTGGGGGGCGGAACTTAGTTTAAGCCTTCCTTCAGACATTGATTTTTGTGGTTTCGTTGTTCGGTTACTACTGTTGATGATGTGAATTGGGAAGTTGCTTTCCTGCTCTTCGCATTCGTTTCTGTTTCTGTTGAGTGTATGTAGATCATTGGGTGTTGTGTTGTAGTTGTTAGTCTGGTATATTTACTAAAAAAAATTAAGTTGATGGTGGCATGTGTGGGCAGCTCTATGATGAGTTTATAGAGATTGTGGTTGGTGGTCAGCAAAAGACATGATTAAACATTCCTTTTGATTGCTGACGGCGCGAGTTTCAATAGTTTATTTATTCCACATATCGAATGCAAGCGAAAACAAACAATGAATTTGGTAAACAAATTCATATTTTACTGAAACTCTTTGTGTTCGTGGTGCTAGCAGGCTTTGAAAAATTTGTTATTGTTACTAAAAAAAATACAACTCGTTTTTTATTGTCACCATTTCAGTTGCATAAGTGATTCGATCTGAAGCTGATCGCTCGAGGCATGGAAAATTCAACGGCCGGTAAATGTAAGTGTTTTCAAAGAATTATGACAAATTAGTACGACATCGTGGCGCTGTGGGTGGACACAAAAACGGGCAGGTGGGTGCTATCCCTCCACACAATCCCCAATCTCGCAAGCACTTCGTAATTACCGCGAACACTGCAATAACAAAAGGCTGGGAGTTGGGAGACGCAAATCGACCAGACCCACGACCGGGCCAAAAGGGTGACGAGACAAAAGCCGTTACCAACGCCCTCATCTCCATCCCGTTCCCATCCTCATCATAATCATCATCAGCAGGAGCTGAGGCAGTCACGGATGTTTGTGGCTCATTGGTTTGCTTTCAGCTTGGGTTATTTTTCCTGCCCACCCCACGCGCCCCACATAAATTAACCGAAACGTACTAATTCTTTTTTCTTCCTTCTTGCCCGCGTCCTTTTTTATATGCGTGCAAAAATTTATGCTTGAATTAAATATGATGACCAAAAAAGCAGTCGCACAAGGACCCCCTGCAGTCGGTAGCAACATTGTGCTTATTTACACATGTACAACACGGCGTATACGTATTTTAACGTACGACAGCCGGCCACAATTAATCTTGCCAAGTGTTTTTATGCCTCTGCCTTGAGAGCGGAGAACTGAAATGGAAAGAAGTGCAAAAAACAGGTCTCTTAAATGGACCAACATCATGCGGCTGGGTTATAATTGAATTTTCATAACCATTAACCAACGCCGACTCGGTCATTATTTAAATGTAATGACGCTTTATTATTACCTCGGAAATCGAAAGCAAATGATTGCGACTTTATAAATATAAATCAAATTAGAAAAGCTTCTTGGCCGCCACCACATGTTGCACGGCCATTTGTCCAACGTGTGACCAAAAGCTAGGACAGGACGAATGCCTAACATTCTAGCATTTATGCCCAAACAAAAGAGTCCACTAAAAGGACATTTAGGAAAGTGGAGGCTATTTAAGAGGTTTCATCAAAAACAAATTTATGTGAGAATCGGGTGTTGCCTCTGTGCATTTTAGGGAGATTTTACTCAGAGCTATAAAACTTAAAAATGTATTTATAAAGTGAACAGAGCGCAACTCACCAAATGAGGAATTCCAAAAGTCTTTTCTTAGAGCTGAGAAAAAGGTAAATAAGATCGTTGTTGAATTTAGTTTAAATTGGTTAAGTTAAAACAGGACAACTAACACATAACATAATTATTTCCATTTATGTACCTCATCTTTTTCTCATGGCAGACTCCTCCCGAGAACGCGATTTCGTGTTCGCTGAGGCTCCAGGCTATATGCCCTGGCCGGGAATTCTGACAAGAAAAGACCTTCGCGCAGGAATGGTGAAGTTTATGTGTACAAATAAAAGGAGGACCATTCCCTATCAGTGAATCTGGATGTACGACGATCGCAGCAAGGAACAATTTATCACAAGCCAGAATATGGAGTACGAGGAATTTCGCGAAGCGATTTGCATTGCTGAGAAGCTTCGGTCTGGCAACGTGGATGTTAACTCTGAGGGCGCCGGCTGGCAGCTGGCCTCACCAAAAGAGGTACTGCCGCCGCCCTTAATAAATCCTCCATTGAAGTCGAATGAAGCTGACTGGAAACTCAACTATTTGCGACAGGTGCGAATGGAGCGCGAGTCCTTGGGCATAGAGGTGAAATTTATCCATGAGATTAATATACTGCGCCACAGCTTGACGCTTAGAAAACAGGATTACCCATCTGCCCTATGGGCCTTTCATCAGCTGGAGGATCTGGTCCTTAGCGAACTGCTGCTTGTGCGCAACTTTGGAGCCGTAGAAGCGGTCCGTCATTTATGCCGCTTTGCATCCGCACAACCCCAAGAAAGGGGGGACAAGGTGAAGAACCTAGCAAACCAATTGATGGACCGTTTCGCGTTGCATTTTAAGCTTCCTTCTACCAGTCCCGATTTCTGGTCCGAATACTGCTTGCTTCTACTGAAGCTACACTGTGAAAATTAAACATAGTGATATCGCAATAGAACCAAAATAGAAAGCCAAATTCAAGAATAACAAAAATTCTTTACATTTGTCCAGATTTTATATAAAGTAAAATTACTTTAATAAAAAGAGTTATTACTACCTAATATGGGCTTCTTCCCTGCATTCTGCAGAAAAAAATATTAAGGCTACTCAGCATATGTTAAGTAAGAAAGCCAAGTATGGCCTAAACTATGTACGGTCGGTTAACTGTCCACTGAATGGGCGACAAAGCCAATGACATGACAAGGTGTGAAATAAACAATCGATCAAAAAATGAGACAAATCGTCGTGGCTTTTTGGGTAGCAGCAAACAAAAGCCAAATGTGTTCACACCTTGACAGTCTGACACACCCTCATCTACACACACTCGAACCCCTCGACCACTTCCGAATTTACCCAGCTTTCTAGGTGGTCGAGCAAACAACATTTCACTTTTTGTTGCGCAGCCAAAAAGGCAACAGCAAAAGGCAAATTCAATTTGAGCTGTCAAAAATCTGACCAATATTGCCTTTGAGTGTCTGTGTCCTCCTGTCTGTAAATGTGAGAATGGCTGTGAGAAGGAGGGACGAGGCCTGTGGTTAGGCTCACAATAAATCGATTGAAAACGTAAATGAAATTGACAGTCAGCATTCCAGGTGTGCGAAGGTCCAGCCACTTCTCCCTCTCCAAACTCTGTGTTAAATAAGTTCACACAGCCCGCCATTTAAAGTTTCTGCACGGACGAAAAGTGATGCACCTAATTTTAAAAAAAACTGTAAAAGTTGCCTAAATAAGACAACTAAAAGAATTTAAGTAATTTTTTTGGTTTTATATTATAGGATCCCATAAACCAACTTCTTTGTTTAAGTATAGAATCCGGTCATTCAATTTATATTTAACCCTTTACCGCAACAAAGCCATATATGGCTTTTTACTTTCAATAATTTTTTTGTGATAAAGCGGTACGTACGCTGATCCGAGTGTTGTCAGTTATTTTCTTTGCATTATTTTCTGTTGGAATTTATTTTAGAGTTTTATGTGTTGCCATATCTCAAGTTTCAATCAGATTTATGCAACCGTCTCAAGCAGGTGAACGAAATGGAGTTTGGCTGAATCTGAAATTTAGTTGTCTTTGTTAAAAAACACTTTTATCTCTAAAAATAATTTGTACTTATATTTTTATTCTAACAGAATATAAAGTTTTATTTCATAAAAAATATAATTTGTCTATAGGTAGGCATCAAATGTACTATTTCATATCCTCAAAAAAAATTAATAAACACATATTAACATACAACAAAATTTTTTCTTATTATTTCTATGTTCATGCATGTTCATTTTCTTTCTGAGTGTAGAACTCAAATCCAATTTCTTGAGAAAAAAGAGACCCTAAATAAGGCATCAAATTAATTTAACATTTGCTTTGTCGCTGTCAACTCAACGCCTGGATTTGCAGACGCCGGGCTAAGGGCACATTTCTGGGCTAAGGGCTAAGGGCGTTTAACTTATTGACACTCCACGGGAGATCCTCTCCTTTTCACATACTACTCTAATAAGCTCTAAAAGTGGTCATTGCTTTAAAGCAAGAAAGCGAACCTAAATAATTTTTAATTTTAAAATATCGCTAAATGGTTTTTCCACCTGTTTTGGCATTAATAAGCAAATACAGAATCACCCCTCCGAAAGTAGGGGATAGCAATCATAATATTGTTATTTTTTAATTTAACTAAAATGTCCCGGGCACTCAAATACACTCATAGCAAGCTTCATATTAATATGGCTAAAAGGAAATCAAAAACAACACCCGGAGAATACCTAAAGACGAAGTTGGTAGAGGAGAGGTGTACAAGGGCCAGAGACTGGAACAGTGATTCTAAACATAAGAATAAGGAGTGAAAACTTGCCATATCAAAACAATCGGAAAAATAAATGAAAAAAATTTTTACTTTGCTGTTTTTTGTTTTTTTTTTTAGTTATTCGACATATATTAATGATTAAATATTTCAGAATAACGGTTTACATTTCATCACAATCGGACGACTATAACATAAAGCTCCCATGGGAAGAATAAAAATATTTTAAAAATAATTTAACTTTTTTATTTTGTAATTGTTTTTAGAAATTCTTTTTCACTAGCCAATAATTTGACAGTTCAGAATTACGCTTTTAATAGGAACTATCAAATAATTGAGCTGCGAATCAACATAACTTCAAGTCAATCATAATTTTAATGTTTTCAAGAATATTTAGCTTTTGCAATAGCTGCAAGGGTATAAGAACTTCGGCTTGCCGAAGTTTTCTTCCTTTCTTGTTTATTTTTAATTTACTCGGTAATTAATGGGTAGTTAAATGCTGCACTTATGTATAATGTATGTTTATACATTCGCACCACTGTTTGGCGAAAGCTATTATGTCATAAGGACAGCTACTTAAAGTCGGATTTTGTTTTCATATGACCCCCTGGTAAGTTGCGCCGTCGTTCATAATTGTTTGATATTTTGGGCTGTTTGAAGTCCTTAGCGCTAGCGTGTCCTGGGTTTGGCTTGCAAGTTTTATTGAATAGCGCATTATTTAATGAATTGATATCCGAATAAAGGCGGGCGTGCTTCAAACAGATGCAGATAGCACTGGCTCCTTTGTGATGTAATTTATGTACCGGCGCCAGATGCTTATCGCGGCATCAAAATAAAGCCAGGTCAGCACCTGACCAAGCTTATCAGGATGCCGTTTATGTTAAACCCCGCACCCAAAGTGAAACCCTCTCTGATAAAGCAAACAAACAGTCTCAGCCCGGCAGCGTTGATTTATTTCACTTTTCTCTCTTTCGTTTATTATACACTTTAAAACGCTGTGACTAACAAAAATGTTGCTGACCTTTATGGCGGGTCGTAAAAATGTTGCTGGTAGAGGCCCTAAAACAACGGACAGTTATGCTGGCGCCATATTTGCACATCGTTTTATTTTTAAATACAAATTAAAATTGTTATATTTTGCAAAGTTAGAGAGCGAGACCGCAAAGCAATTTTCAGAAATAACCGAAAAACTAAAAACACATGTGGCAAGCCAACGCACGCACACACAATTTATTTAAGGGGCAAAAAGATTTTTGTTGACAGAAGTTTACAATAAAACGAAAGTTTAATGCACAAGTTCTGCTTTGCTCCTCCATGTGCCCCACAACCAATTGTTAGGTGGGGCACCGCTGGCTGCAGCAGTGGCCGAGGTGAGCCGGCGGTCTGTGTGCGCAACTTACAGCCAAAGTAAACTCATTACCAATGCAAACAAACAGAGGAGAGCGCCCCAAAACTTAACAAAAAAAGTAAATGTGTAAAAATATATAATCATACTCAGCTTCCACCGAAACTATTTGCTGCGAAACGGAACGAAAGAAATATCATTAAAAAGTGTGTTAAAAAATAATTAAGTGCTCTGCATTCGTATGCAAGATGTGCACTGCACATCGAGCCCACGCCATGTGTCCCTCGCTCTATCCTAGGCCATCGCCTGTTCAGCGAAAAATGTTTGTGTTGCATAATTTTTAACGCCACATAGACGGCATATTCGAGATGCCTTCTTTGCCACGCTTGTTGATTTCGAATTCCATGTCAAAACCATGACACAGCCTGCAGCTTAACCGCAGGATACAAATATGTGCTCATTGTTTGGCATGCGGCTACCGCGGTGTCTTTATTGATCAAATTGCTTTATTGGTGTATTAATTTTAATTGGTCGGCATGTCGTGTTACCCAGTCACTATTAATTAACATGCAGTTCAGACAGACTCCTCACTTCCGCGCCACAATTGCCTCTCTGCCTATGTTTTGAACAGTTACATTAATTATTTAATTTTTTGTAATTTTTGCTTATTTGGTTAACAACAGTTAAACCGAAGTTTAGCCGTTGTTAGCCCCAGAGTGCCAGTAAAAGTTTAAAGCATATTAAAATAGTAATAAACCCTGGGGAAATTCCATATCATTCTTATATAGTCGCATAGGTGGTCGAATTGACTTATATAATAAATGGAGAATAGTTTTTTATGTATAAAATTAATTTTGTAACTAGTCAAAAAATTATAATCCCCGTCATTTGTTAAAAGAAAAAATAAAGAAAGAATAATCCCCATTATGAAATTATTTTTATTTTTAAACGGTTTTATTTCCGGTATTTATTTTATGTTCATAACTGTTGATGTTATCAAATTTGTAAAACCGCAGAGAACAAAATGTTAGTTCGTAAAACTTTTTGGTTTTCGGTGTGCACACATTAAAGTGTAATTAAAATGTGGCAGGCAACATTATGGCAGTACTGCCGCAAATCCGCTGCAGCACACGCCCACACCCGCACAGATATTGACCGCACACAAATAATTAATTGAGATACTACAAGACCGGCAAGATGAATCTAGATGAAGCTGGTTCAGAGTGCTGGGCATGTTGCGCGCCGAGTAGGCCATGTTTGTTAATTTATTAATACAATTGATTTATGAACCGATGAGGACGAAGGAGTCTCTTCCTCCGTCCTAAAATTGCGGTTAGTCACAGACAGACCTCAAAACCGAAGCTCTGACTCTCTGGCTCATCCTAATCTCATTAACTTTCCACATTAAAGGACGAACACAGCTGACTGAGCAAGGACATTGTAAAGTGGTAAGCTAAAACTAAAGTTTAATGACCACAAAATCCCATCAGGGCCCCTCAACGATTCCAGTTTGTCTAGCTCTTTCTGACCAATTACGAACGCATTTCAACCCAACCGCTAATCGGCTTCTTTGCCACTCCCCGCTGCATTTCAGGTTGAGTGCATCTCGTTTAAATGAATTACAAGCGAAATATGAGCGTTTCCACTTTCCCACTTAACCGCTCATCTTGACTGTTGCCGCTCATTAAGCAGCCGTCGCCTAAACGCCAAATGTTAATCAGTTTTTTCTATTTCAAATACAACTGAACGGAGCTGAGTTGGGAGTACGGAAATCCAAAGCGCAAATCATAAAACACACCAAAGCACAAAAATTGGTAATTAATGCTCTGCTACACTGGCAGAGTATCTGCTCCATAAA